CCCGCCGAATGATTGGCAGGGTGATGAGCCAATAGGAACTCGGCGTGGCGTGCTCGCCCCGCCCCTCGCGCAGCGCGTCGGCCAATCGCGGGTGAGCTGGTAGCGACCCGGAAGAGGAATGCTAATGTTCCGAGAAACAGGTGCAAAGCGTCGGGGGAAATCAATCCCAGCGCTGTGGAATCGAAGCGGATCGATAAACCGGTTAATACTGAGTTATCTCGCAGGGTGTGGTCTCTGCCCGCAAAGGTGTCCAGCCGGGGCGTGCACACACACAGCGGACGAAGCTCAAAGCTGCAGCGAACAATGGCGTTTTAATTTCTCACCCCTCTGCCCAGACCCACTGCCGTGTGCTTGTACAGCACCAGCGCACCAAATGCCACACAGAGTGTGTCCTCCAGTAAAATTTCTGCTGCTCATGAACCTCTGGCTCTCGTCGCTCCTTCCCCCGCCGAGCACTGAGGCTCTCCAGGGCTCCTCCCACCGAGGGCAGGTGCTCACAGCGGAGGATGCGATGCCCGTTGGACATAGATCCCTGCACGCTGCAGTTTATCCCCGTGCTGGGCAGTGAGGGCACAGCTTAGCTCCGAGAGCTGCAGGAATCCACCTGACAGGGCCGGGGTGGGTGGTCACCTCCCAAAAACATTTCCAACGAGACTACTCTGCTCTGCTTCTTGTTTTCACACTTATGTTGGCCTTTGCCTTGTGACTGGGGCTTAAACAGCAGCACACACTGATTATCAAGTTACAGGATCCAAATTTTATTTAAATAAATTTTCTTTCTACAAGAATATCGTTACACGTCGTACCCTAATTGCTGCCTGCACTTCATTCCATGCATAACCCACAGAGAGGTCTTACAACCTTCCACACAACACCTGTGTAAGCTACTCAAACAGCAACTTGCAGGCACTTCCCACTTGGGAAAATCCTAACTATAATTTGTGCTACATTCAGTTGGAAGTACTCTGAAACACAGTCTGACACCCTTCTCCACGGTGCTGAGCAGCTCCTGTGGACGACTTCAAGTGCTGGCAATGAATATTGACCACTGCTCAGGGCTGTTCTCCCTGCAGAACCAACCAGTGTTTTAGTGCAGTGGAGCACTTTACCCTTAATATTTTTAAATGTCCATATTTTTCCTTCTGGTAAAGCTTACTTTACTTTATGCCTAGTCCCTGCAACAACCTGTGACAGGTTTTTATAACAAATGGTGAGATTTTTACAAACAACACTCTCCCCAAGAACATCTTACAGAAATTGCTAACATAATTGGGTTCTTTGTAGCTTTTTATATAAAGACCTAAGAGTTTCCTCAACTCTTTCCTAATGCACAGTATTGAAAATTACATGGGTTTGGAATTGGTCCTGTTTGTGTTGCTCTCAGCCTCATTTCCAATCCATCTGCAGCAAGTGACACACCAAAACCAGATTTTGTTCAGTTTTCAGATGTCTCAATAAGTACCTGAAAAGACCCAGGATCTGTTATTTTCTGACATCTGCAGAAGCATTGCCTAAAACATCAGCTTTTCCCTCTGTCCAGCCCTGGCTGACACTCAAGGCTGTAGCAATTGTCTTCAGTGCCTTCTGCTGAGTGTTTCCTACTTGTGGGTCCTCTGACATTCAGACACTTGGGGAATACTTGCAGAGTTAACAAAGGACATGTTCATCCACAAACACTGACATAATATCATCCATATCCAAGACGGTGACTGAGAAACCTTTATTTATCATACCCAAATCCCAGTGACTGTGAAACTGGAAAACATTCCCATTGGAGCATTTCCAGCACTTGCAGTGAAGTGAGTTTAACTCCTCCCCTGAATAGTTACTGTAATTCTCCACTCATGAGTTTTTCCACACAAAATCCCACTCCGAATGAGCCAGAATGAATGATTACCAGCACTGTGTGACTGGCAGGACCAAACCTCCCTGAGGAATGAACAGTGGCTTTGGTTACCATCCTTACCTCGCTGAGGATGGCCCAGACCGGGGAGTTGGCTCCGAAGCGCAGACGCAGGGCCTGGATCCTCCCCACTGCCTGCCTCACCCTGCCCTCTGCCACGCCATCTTCAAAGGCCCCTGCAGGAAAAAAACAAAGCAACACCCATTCCAACACACATTGGAGTGAAATATGCTTCCAAGTGAACTTATGCAAAGTCTCAGAATTACAAACTATGACTTAAACCCAGTGGAAAAAAGTGTTTTGGGAAAGGTGAAACAATATAAAGATAAAGCAAGAAGAAGGATCCATTCCTTCCGTTACAGCAACTAGGAGCTGGACAAGAACATAAGAAAATAACCCATAGCTACAAATGTTGAGGAATAAGTTTAGATATGCTGGTGCTAATCATATCCATGGGGCACACAGGGCCATGCTGAGTAACCTGCAAGAGTTGTTCTGAGAACCATCACTTTTTACTAGTTCACCTTGGAATGTTGAATTGATTACAGAGTTAATGAGATGCTCAAAAGCAGAAACATTTCATATGTAATAACAACATTTCTGGTTTTGAAGTGACAATGAACAATTCACCTATTTTTAAATATCCATCTTTGGTTGCTGGGTAGTTGAATTTACTTCCATTATCATCCAGTTCTTTTCTTAGAGTTTCCTGTAAAAAATAAACCAGAAATTTTTTCAGAAATATTTCCTAGCGTGTGAGATTTTAGGTTGAACATCATTCTTAAAATGAAATACAGCCAGAAATGAGACTTACATCAGCTGGCAGCACCTCCACAGTAGTGTTATAGAGCTTATCCCCAGGGTGCTCCATGTTTCCACTCCTGAACAAGTACCTGATGGTAAAGGTATATTATTTCCAGGTATTCTTTACTTTAGGAAAGTTCTCCAGTTCTGAAGGAAAGTTCCAGAAACCTTTCCTTTAAATAGCTGTGGGCTCAAGAGAACAGAACTAGGCATTAAAACCTTACAGTCTGTGACCAAACCACAGCAGAGGCTTCTTATTTTAAACAGAACAAACATCTGCACCACCTTTCCCTGGAACCACAGATACAAGTGTTCCCCTTGCCAGTCTCAGGTTCCAGATGAATTAAGTCTGAGTGGCTCTGGAGGATTAGTCCTGCCACTGCAAGGCTGAGGTGGGATAGGCTTCTGGAAGGCAGTGGCAGCAAAAATCCCTGTTTCTACCAGAGCATACTCCACGTGCCAGGAGAATCCCCTTTCCATCAGTACTGGGCAGCTCAGGTGTCACTAGATAATTTCCTCTCTAGCCAGGGAGAAGAGCTGTGACAGAACAGGAGTCCAAGCCAAAACACCTACGAGACTTAATAAAAAAACTCCCTGTTTGGTTTTAAATTTCCAGCGTTAGAGTTCTTAGGGGTTTAGATTTAAAAAGAGCTAAGAAAGCATCACCTTCTGCCCTCTGGTATCAAACATTCAAGACCTAAGCCCACCAAATGCTATGGGATGAACAATCTGTTTTCACGGGTAGCAATGTGGTGGTGCTGGCACCAGCCACCAGACAGAACCATATGCAGGACAGCTTCCCAGCAAGAGGAAAATGCAAAGTGTGCAAATTAACAGCTCTCTAATGACCAGGGGAGAGAGGAGTATGTCAAGAGGGGAGTTCAAGGAGAGCAGATAGGTTACAAATCATGGGTTTTTTGTCAGTAACAAGGTATGCCTTATGCAAACAGTTCACAGAATCATAGAATTTTTAGGGGTTGCAATGGACTTTAGAGATCCTCCAGCCCCAACCCCTGCCCTGGGCAGGGACACCTCCCACCAGAGCAGGTTGCTCAAGGCTCATCCAACCTGGCTGTGAACACTGCCAGGGTTGGGGCAGCCACAGCCTCCCTGGGCAACCTGGGACAGGGTCTCACCACCCTCACGGGGAAAAAACCTTTTTCTCACATCCAACCTAGACTTCCCCTCCTTCACTTTGAACCCATTACCCCTCGTCCTGTCACTGCAGCTCCTAACACAGAGTCCCTCTCCAGCTCCTTGTAGGCCCTTCAGAGATTGAAAAGTAGCTCTGAGCTCTCCAAAACCATCAGTTGAGCACTGATGATTTTGAACAATCATTTGCAAACTGGATACACATAGGCTTCACCCATGTCATGCCACACTTACCTTTCTACTCTTAGTGGATTCAAAAAGGTGAACCTGATGTAGTCACCTGCCACTGGAGCTTCAGCCCAAAAACAGTCTTGTCCTTCATAAACTTTTTCCAAGGTATATTGCTGGTATGTTTTTAGGCTTGTATCCACTTTTGCGGGTGGATTATCATGTGCTTTATGCAGCACATTTTTTCCAAAATCTTTATCCTGTTGGATATGAAGAAATGTCATTTCACTCATACAAAGAAAAAAAAGTGCACTGTTATCTTGAATTACTACAGGAAGCTAGTCCAGGAAACAATTACCTCAGAGTCAAAAATATACAGTCTGTTTTTACAGACACCTTCATGCCAGTGCAGTCACTAGGCTCAGTGTCACAGGCTGTAGGACAGGGCTGGACTGGCTGTTCCTTAGCTGCTAAGGCTGAAGACTAAATGTCTCCACAGCAGCCTGATGTGTCTCCTGCCAGAACATGTGATCCTGGCTGTGCTGCAGGCTGTGTGAATCTTGAGTCTGACCCAGGACAGAGATGTGAGTGATTTGTGGCTAGTCTACATGGCACCGTCAGAAGATCCCGAAAGTCTGGGGCATCATTGCTCCTGTCCTCATCAGGTTTCCCCTCCAAATGCCTCCTAAAAATCCATGGCCATCAGGTTGGGCACACCTTGTCCTGCCAGGATACCTCCTTAATGGTCCCTCATGTGGCATGTGAACTGTCCAGCCAGAAAAGCCATCACAGCTGGTTCTGTCTGCACGGAGCACGTGAGACCTTGTGCCATGGGGAGGGTTCCTGCACGCCATGGAATGCTCTGTCCCTGGTGCAGGTGTTGGGAGGAGAGGTTCCAAGGTGTTTGTGAAGGAGCAGCTGAGCCAAACCTGGGAACCAGCGTTCTCGGAGATGGAAGTGCCACCCAGTGGCAAAGAGTGACCCTTGGGGCTGACTGGAGAAACTAGTCAGAGCACAAGCACATAATTCAGAAATATAGCATCCATATCTTGTTCTTACTTTCAGGTTTTGTATCTTCCCAGGCAGCGACGAGTGAGTTCCCATGTGCTGGAAGAGAGAGGGCTTAGCACGGACACGCAGCTTCGCCTTCTCCCTGTCACAGTGTGCCTGGGAGGGAAGGAGGTGAAAGGGAGTGAATGGCTATTTAAACCAAGGACAGACCATCTGAGTTCCACAAGGCAATTCCTTTGTGCAGCTGAGGGTGGTGGGCCCAGGTTTGTTATCACATTCACGGGACTGATCCTGGAATTAACAGTCACCTGATGTCAAACAGTTTCTAGACTCAGCATTCTGCTCATGCCCTTGTGAGGACTGGAGGGCTCAGCACCAGTTACTCAGGGATTTCTGACCAGAGTGCCTTGAGTCACTTGAGGGTGACAAAATGACCTCCAGTCTGAAACTGATTGATTTCTTAGTCTGTTCTGGCAACATTTATTTCACTCCTGGCCTTGCCATAGCATTCCAGTGGAACTATTTTGACCAAAACTGATCTTCTTGAGAGAGATTCTGGTACATTTCAATCTTTACCATTTTGGTTCTTCCTGCTACGTTTGAGAGGCTTATAATGTACTGTAAGTTATGGATGTTTGATCTTATAATTAAAGCCCTGAAATTCTCCATTTCAACCGCAATTTTCCAGTTTGCTACACTTGTGACATGACATAACAGGGAGTTAAATAACTGTAACTGGTACTAATTCTTGAGTTTCTTGATTTGTGAATGACAGCAAACTGCTTTGAATGCAGTGTTTTGTTCTGGGTGGCACACAAAAGCCACAAACAGGTGCCACGTTGACCTTCCCGTGAAGCACGATGTGTGATCACCTAGTGGCACTCTCAGTTGCTTGGAAAGGAGAAGGTGTGAGGATTTCTCAGTGTGCCTGTAGCAAACTCCACTGCTTTAAGCTGTTGAGCAGAGGAGCAGCAGCTGGAGCCCTGTCCTCCCTGGCTCCACATTCCGCATGCTAACAACTAGTCCCAGTAGGTCGTGACTGGTGGTTCCCACCCAAGGGCCATAAGACTGACTTGTCCCAGTAGGTTTTCACTACCCACAGCAATTGAACTTGCAGCTGCAGAAGTGGAACTCAGTAGAACCCACGGATCCCACTCTGCTGTGGGATCGGA